GACAGTCATGACTGATCCCGCCGACGGGCTGCCTGGCACCTCTCCCGGCAATGCGTGCCGATATCGTGCGGGCATTTGTTTCTTGTGCCTGTTTCGGTCCCGTCTTCGGCCGCTACGCTACCCGCAACGAGCAGACTCTAACGGCACGATCTCCGTCCAGGGCGCTGCCAAGACTGATTTGCCCGGTTCACCGCCAGAGATGCACCAACGAGCATAGCATGCGCGCCATCCAGGCATGCGATTCACATGTCTCGGGGAGTTTGTCGCAAAACATTCGCCCAACGGGTGAGCCGCCCGAGATTATTGTTCCGCGCGCTCACTCGCTCGAACACGATATCCTCGCCGTGTCGCCTGTTGCCAAGACGGAGTCCAGAGACATCACTAGACTGTTCGGCTTGCGTGCGCGCGCACATCGATCATGCCAAAGCGGTGGCGCTGAAACGCCAATATCGTGTTTCCCTCAGTTCGCAAGGGCCTCCAACCAACCACCATCTCGCGATACCGCAAGGGCTTGCGTATGCTTCGGCGTAGCTCCCGGAGAATACAGAGCCCTGGGGCGCTGGGCGCAAACAATCGTCCACAGAAAGGCACATCCTTAACCAAGGCTGTGCCGGATGCGTTGTGCTCCACCGTCGATGGGACTGTGAATTGACTGATCACAAAATCCCTGATGAGCAACGGACCTGCTGACCTCACTCTGTGCCGCACCCCCGTAACTTACGAGCGGGACAATCGGGCTGCGGTGGAGCCACGAGTGCCTTGTCCTGTCCTCACTTGCCTAGCGCCCAGGTACGAGCCCAGGGAGTACTCATGTACCTGGCCTGGGAGCCTGGGAGACCAGAGGCACAGCCTCCACACCGAACCTTCAGAAATTCCTTCCAGAAACTTTCCTGTTCTGAACGATGGGCAGGGATCCACCTGGAAACATGGTGCTGACCGCCCAGCCTCCGTTGACAATCTCGCTTTTGCTTCGATGGTGTCATGGATCGCGAGCGTGCATAGGGCTTGACCAGGGGGTCAGCTACGGTGCTGTCCTGAAGCGACCTAGCTCGTGACCCAGCGAGGGCATTCATGACAGATCTCGAATGCGGTGGACATTGGTTCCAAGTACAGACCCAGCCAGACCGCTTCTTTGCCAATCTCCGACTTGCTTTGCAGCAGGTATCGCTCTCGCTCTGTTTTGGGCGTTTCAGCAGTACCAGAGGGAAATAATTCACGCAGTTGCAGATCGAGAACCCTCTTGTTTACAAATCAAGCCCCGACCTACCGCCGTACATCTAGTACCAAGCGTCACATCCCAGAGCTGCATTCGGGGCGTCCGGGCCAGCGGCGTCGTTGTCGCGCAGAGCGAATGTGAAAATTGTTTTGTTCAGGTCGCCAAAGCCAGCGCCCCCTTTCGTTGCACGGCCAATGGAGTGACAGTCAAGACAAGACAGGGGACTTCAGTTGAAACGTCAGGACAGCCCGCTTGGACCAGTCGCTACCGAATACGCATCACACTTGTTCCCAGCAACTCGCAACCAGCCCCACGCCCCCGGCGCCACCTGCTCAGTCTTCCACGTGGGAAGCAGGGGTGACCTGACCTGCCAATCAGCCAGCCACCCCCCCTGAAGACTGCAGGGACTTTTCAGGGGAAGAATTTTTTTTTTCTTTTTTTGCCTTCTCCTTATCCTTCTTTTGCTTCGTCTCATCAGGAAATAATGCAGAAAGAGGGCAGATCCGATTCTCCGTCTCGCGCATCGGGGTCCGCTTCGGGAAATAGGTGGCAAATTACCCAGGACGCTGGGACCGAGGATCTGCCTTCTTGTGTAGACTGTAGACAAGTGTCGCAGGTACCTGCTTCAGTTCTGATGTGAGCTGCAGGGGTAAATGAGGGCTTTTCTTTTCTTCCCTTTTTCTTTATTTCCCTCTACCCTTGTTCATGATTGCCCTGTTGTGATGTGCCATCCACGCCCTCGTGACGGAAGCAATACGGCCACCTGAAACCTGGAGCAGGGTCCCCAGCTGACTGAGTAATCGGCCTGCCAAGAGCCAAAAAGGAAAAGAAAAGAAAAAATATTGGTGCGGTGCTGAAAAAGGCCCGTCATTCCGTAGTTCCTAAAGCTGCGCGACACGCGTGAAAAGGCTATTTTCTGCAATTGGACCCCTGCTTTTTTTTTTTCCTTTTTCCTTTTTTAGCTACCTACTTCTGCTTGCAGATCCCTTCTTCAGCAGGCACATCTCCGTGCCGAGGCAACGTTGTTCTGCCAAGCCGGGGTCGCTCGTGCCATCCGAGCCATCGAGACCGAATTGGCTAGCTCGTATGCTGAAGCAGTGACTGCGACACGTGAGTGCGAGGTGGGTTTGATCATGTTTGACTCTGTTTGTATTGTCAGATGTCAGATTTGTGGTTGAGTTGCGTGAGAGCATATGATATGATCTGCAGAGTGGACAGATACGGAGTATGAGTGCTAATTAGAGCTCTTCTTATGCCCTACCACCTACCACTGCCGTGCATCATTTGCTATGACAAAGCACGTGGGCATAGTGACTCGTATTGTTGAGCCTATGCAACTCCTTATCATTACGGTGGTGTAGAATTATACCCTGGAATAGTACTGATGTTCTCAACGATATATTCCTGACGTTCCGTACAAGAGAATTTGCATGTAATCGTTGGCGATATTCATTGTACAACCTGTACATTCCTCACTGTTAGACCACTTGAGCAACATGCTATGGAATAATGTTTAGTCTTTGGTGAGGACGTTGGCAACCAGTGAATAGTTGCACCAGGGTCTCACCACAACTATTGACCAGCAGGCCAAATAATCGGTCAGACCTAACACTAGTTGTGGTCCAACTTACTTGTGAATGCACGTGGCAAGTGTAGATTGGGTAACTTGAATCCAGTTCACTGATTCGTAGAGAGCGCCATCCGGCCGAGTGAACTTCTCAGATATATGCCGGCCTCGTCAACCAGAGACATACGCCGCTCTGCTTCGACCTGTAGCTTACATACGGCCTTGACTCATATCTCTGCACTGCTGACATTATCTTGATAACACAAGACCGGCTCTTGCACCACGGACGCGGATATCTCGCCTACATATTAGCCGTGAGCAGCAGTCTCTATTCTCATCCTTGGCTGGCGGCTTCAGCTACATTGCCGGGTCCACAAGGCTGTTTATACAGTTGTGTTTACCCGCGTGCAACTGTTTATCAGACACGACTTGCCGTTTCCTCAGGGAGTACGTGATGTTCAGATGGTCGTCCGTGGGGTTCATGCAGAGTCCCGAGACTTGTTTATAGTAAATCTCCGCCTGGGGCGATCCAATCGCGATTGTGCAACGGAGGCACAGAGACAGGTCTCTACTCTGTGTAATTCGTGTATACGTGTACGGCATGCGCATATGTGGCGCAAACAAGTAAGATTGTTGAGCCTCATGCGAGACAAGAGAGAAACCAGGGGGCACAATCAGATCGAGCGAGCTGCATGTCAGATGGGAGATCATCAAACACGTTTCAAAACTGTCAGAATCTACCCCCAACACACATCCAGATGAGATACGGTGGGATTGGAGACGGGGGGGAAACGTTGCGCTGCCGAAATCTCCGAAAATGCCATCATGGGGGGTGGACTAGATTTGGCACATCAAACTGTCGAGCAAACCGCGAAAGATACATCCCGCACAGGTAGATGCGTGTCCCGAGTGTGCCACAACACACGTTTAATTCGTACATGCATCAGCAACAGTGTGTACCTAATCCACCCGAAGTTGCCGCGAAGCGAAGAGAAAAAGGGTCGAGAACCCATCCCAGAGTAAACAGACGGGATCGTAAGCGAACCCGGGAAATACGTGCGCCAGCCCACGTTGTCTCTTGGCTTTGCGTCCCGCTTGGAACTGCCTATCGGAACCAGAAAAAGTCCAGTCAGGCAGTCAAATAAGACTGTCCGTGGCCCGGGTTGAAACGGGCACACTCTACATCAGGCCAGGTCGATCTATCTGCGATGGGATAGGTATGTCATCGGCCCATGTTCTGACACCCTGGTCTCCCTTCCGCCCGTGGGCTTCTTTCATGAACCCCCACTCACCCAACGCCCGGCTCAAATGAGTTCTCCGGGTACAATGCTCAGAAGTCCAGTCTTAGACTGACGCGGTGACTTGGGTCATTTGTCGTGATGACCTTGCCGAATGACCTGACTGTCGATCCAGTCCTCATTTGCACCCGAAGAAAGGCCATGTCCCACCCCCGGAAAGAGGGGGATTGATACGGCGTTTCAGTTGTCGCTGGCATCGGCCCACGGCGCCCTCGTGATTGGTGGGATCGACAGGCCACATGGGTTGGGCTGTGCTGGCTTGGATCGCACCCCACGTTTGAGGGATCGGAAGACAGCAGAAAAGGCCAGAGTTGGCAGATGCGATTTGACTGTATCTACTTGTATTCTGTGCGAGACTGCTCTGACTCACCGCTGGGGCGATCTGCCCAGGGTGCGTGCGCCCCTGTTGCGCCTTTCAAGCACTCTTCCCAATCCACCGTTTCGGCCTATGGTTTTGCTTTGCTCCAGGTACCATGTCATGATTCTCCGTTGCGGGCCCTCGGCTCGGATTGGCCGTAACGGGCAATCCCGCACCCATCTGCATGTTGGGGGGACGCGGGGATTCGTGATGCCCATCATCGTGGCGTCTCGCGTGCGACATCATCTTCCTCGGTGCGGCGAGAGACGCGATTTGTTGCACCAGCCTCGTGTGATTGTGGAGAGATACCAGGAGACGATGGCAATCGCCTTCCTGCAAAAGGCATGCCACTCAACCCCCCAGAAGGCCATGGCGCATCAGCGGGAAAGGAGCACTCATGTCGTGCTTTCTTTCACCCAGGGCGCCTCTCGAGCCTCGTATTTTCGCGTGGCCTCATCGCCCCAGGCCCGTTTCTGCGGCCACTTGCATGCGAAACAAGGCCTGCTCGTGCGGCGGCCACGGGAGGACCCGCCCCAGGCCACCCCCTGCTAGTTCCCCCTGTCACGATCCCTCTGCCTCCTCGGCCAGGTTGGCTGGCATCTGCGTCGACGAGATCCAGTTCTCCATCATGGCCTGGCCGCGGGGCGCGCCCGCTGCGGCAGCGGCGGCCTTTGTCCTGCGGCCTGCGCTGGCGGAGGTGCCCGTTCCGCCGGTGGCGTCCCGGCGTTTCACGACCAGGCAGAGCACGCGACCGTAGATGGCAAAGCCCTCGTACGTGATGTCCATGGCCATCTTCTTCTTGTCGTCCCCCTGCTCCTCTGGCGAGTCCGCGACAGCAGCAGCTTCTTTGCGGCGTTTGGCGGGGCGCTCCTGGTGGTCGCTGTCGCCGTCGCCGTCGATGTACTCGTCGTCTGACGAGAGATCGACGGGCCCTGTGCCCTCTCCGTTCTCGTCATCTGAGTCCTCGACACGCTGGCGACGTCTTGAGCTCCGTGGCGGCAACTCGTCTATGGCGGGGATGTCCTCGAGCGCGACGGGCTTGTCATCGTCGCTGTCCTCGCGCAGTAGGACGGGGACATTGCCGCTGCTTTCGTCTTGTAGCTCGATCTGTAGGTCTCGGTCCTCCACGTCGATCGGCTGGTCGCTCGTGGCGCCGGTGAGCTTGCTCGAGTTGGACACGAGCTTCGTCTGTGTCTTGTCGCGAAAGTGCTTGTGCTTGTAGAGGACCGAGTGGCGCGTGTTTGTCTCGGTGAGGAAGATGGCGACCTCGAAGTCGTCTGTCCCGTTTCGTAGATGTGTCAAGAGATACTGTTTCTTTTCAAGATGCGACGCGAGTCGAGGCTCGCTCTCTTACCTTGGACCACCACATCCTTGATGCTCTTCTTCTTGGTGCCCTTCTTCTTTGCACGCTCCTTCTCCTCGCGCAGCTTGGGGAGCACAAGGGGCCGCACGCTCTCGATGACCTTGGGAAGCACGGGGTCCCTCGGGTTGAGCAGCCAGGACTGCGCGAGGGCGGGGTTGTCGAGGTAGATGCGGCACTCGAGCACCGAGTATTTGGTGATTCTGAGGTAGCGGCGCAACGGAGCCATGGTTGTCTATACGTCTGCTAGACTCATAGTTGGAGACACGAAGCCTGATCGGTTTCCTCGAAGCGGCGAAGGTCAGTCTCAGATCAATTGGTGACCAATCCAACGGATGAAATGAAAGGATCCATTGATGCCTACATTCCCCCAAGATGATGATATCAGCGCCAGGATTTAGTGTGGGGCCGCCCATCGGCCTCGCATCTGCGGCACGCAAGCAGCTGAAGGCCCCTAAATTTTAGCGCAGCCGCACCACGATTCGTCGCATGACAGCTCTCGGCCTCGCGAAAAAAATCGGGACCTCCAAGAATCACAGCTCGAGACACCCAGCATTCATCGCAGGCCGGCACGTCGGAGAATGCGCAGCGCGTGGCCACCATGTCCAAGTCATGGGCGTCAACTTTGAGGCTGCCAAAGTCTAGCTTCCCGTAAGTGCTTCTCGTCACTCATTCATGTTCTTGGCTGACAGCTTCCCCCCGTCGCAGCCCACGACCAGCACCCGACCTCAGGCCACTGTATCTCCAGCGATGCACCGACGCGTTCTACCAGTGGCAGGAGGCCAATCGCCCCGCCGACGACACGTTCATTCTCCATGACGGCCCTCCCTATGCCAATGGCAGCCTGCACGTCGGCCACGGCCTGAACAAGGTGCTGAAGGACATGATCGTCCGAGTCAACGTGCAGCAGGGCCGCCGCGCGAACTACATCCCCGGATGGGACTGCCACGGGCTGCCCATTGAGCTCAAGGCCCTCGGTGCCTCGGGAGGAAAGGACATGAGCTCCGTCGAGATCCGCAAGTCGGCGCGCAAGCTCGCCTCTAAGACGGTGGTGGAACAGATGAAGGCGTTCCGGTCGTACGCGGTCATGGCCGACTGGGACAAGAGGTGGACCACGATGGACCTGGCGTACGAGATGAGGCAGCTGCGGCTCTTCCAGAAGCTGGTGCAGAAGGGTCTGATCTACCGCAAGTTCAAGCCAGTGTACTGGTCGCCGTCCTCAAGGACGGCATTGGCAGAGGCGGAGCTGGAATACAACGAGAACCACATATCGACCTCGGCATACATTGCCTTTCACATCACGAGGCCGGAGACGGGACCGCTTGCCGACCTGGGACCGGAATACGACCTCTCCGCTGTGATCTGGACGACAACGCCGTGGACACTGCCGGCGAACCGATCCATTGCCGTGCACCAGGAGCTCGAGTACATGGTGGTTGGCGTCGGCTCGAAGGCGTTGATTGTCGCCAAGTCGTGCCTCGAGACTGTGCAGCAAGTTTGTTTCGAGGACTTGGACGTCAAGATCCTCATCGAATCCATCCTCGGCAAGGACCTCGTGGGACTCACCTACCGCAATGTGCTCAGGGGCAGCACCGCGCCCGAACAACCTTTCATCCATGCCGACTTCGTGTCTGCCGAGTCTGGTTCAGGCCTGGTTCACTGCGCTCCTGGCCATGGCTTTGACGATTACGAGGTCTCTAAGGCATTTGACATCCCAGTCGCTGCCCCCGTGGATAACGAAGGCTGCTTCACTACAGAAGCTTTCCCCAGCAACCCCGACGCTCTGCTCGGCATTCCAGTCCTGGAAGGCGGCAGTGATGCTGTTCTGAAGCTCGTCGAAGATGATGTGCTCGGCGTACACAAATACAAGCACAAGTACCCCTACGATTGGCGCACAAAGAAGCCGATCATCATCCGGGCCACGGCGCAGTGGTTTGCAGATGTCGCTAGCATCAAAGAGGACGCCGTAGCTTCCTTGCAGGATGTGCGATTCATCCCGGAAACGGGTAGCAACAGACTGGAGAGCTTTGTCAAGGGACGCAGTGAGTGGTGCATCTCGAGGCAACGCGCCTGGGGAGTGCCCATCCCTGCACTCTACGACAGCAAAGGCGATGCCGTGATGACAGAGGAGACGGTTGCACATATTATCAAGGTCATCCAGGAGAAGGGCACGGATGCCTGGTGGCGCGACGATGCCGCTTCGCCCGACTGGATCCCCGCATCTTTGCGTGGCAAGTGCGAGTACCGAAGAGGCACGGACACCATGGATGTCTGGTTCGACAGTGGAAGCAGTTGGACGATGTTGGACAAGAAGCGAGCAGACGTCTACCTCGAGGGATCCGACCAGCATCGTGGGTGGTTCCAGTCCAGTCTGCTCACGAGGGTCGCGTCGCTGGAGGGACAGGAGGGTATCAAGCCGTCTGACATGTCCCCCTTCAAAAACCTCATTACGCATGGCTTCACTCTCGATGGCGAAGGAAAGAAGATGTCCAAATCGCTCGGCAACATTCTCTCTCCGGCGCAGGTCATGGATGGTACCCTGCTACCTCCCGTGAAGCCAAAGAAGAAGAAGGCCAACTCACCCGTCACCTACGAGGCGCTTGGGCCCGATGCTCTACGCCTCTGGGTAGCTAGCAGCGACTACAGACGGGACATAGTCATCAGCGAGTCGGTGTTGAAGTCGGTCCACGCGGCCTTGATCAAATACCGCACGATCATCAAGATGCTGCTAGGGTCGATGCACCAGTCCGCACGGACAGCGCCGCTGACGGCTATCGACAACATCGCCATCATCCAGTTGAAGGACACCATGGCCGAAGTCGGCGCGGCATACACAAACTATGAGTTTTACCGGGGCTTCAGCAGCTTGAACCGATGGATCACAAACGACCTGTCTGCTTTCTATCTCGAGGCCCTCAAGGACCGGCTGTACTGCGCAGACGGAGGCAGCGTCCTCGAGCCCATCTTTATGGGCTTTATGAGGATGCTGGCCCCGATCACGCCGATGCTGGTCGAGGAGGCTTGGGATCATGCGCCGGCGTGGCTGAAGGATGACCCTTCTACGATTCACCCTCTCCACCAGCTCTATTCAGCGCCTTTGATCGAGTCTGGTCGCCTAACTTATGACGAGAGTAAACTTCGAGAGGCCATCCCGGTTCTCTTGTCTGCCCATGGTGCCATCAAGTCCGCATCCGAGCTCGCACGCTCAGACAAGGCCATGGGCTCGTCGTTGCAGTGCTCAGTGGTGCTGGAAGTGCCGACGGAGCATGCCGAGCTGCTGGCCCGGCATGCAGATGAGTTGGAGGCCATGTTTGTCGTCTCGTCGGTGGAAGTGAACGCTCCTGTGCCCGCAGAGGCCGAGTGGAAGTACTCTGAGACGTTTGACGTGGCCGGCACTCAGTGCACGGCGTGGGTGCTGCCACCCAAGGAGGCCAAGTGCCCGAGGTGTTGGCGGTATGTGGCGCCCAAGGAGGACCACCTCTGTCAGCGGTGCGAGGAGGTTGTCACCGAGGCTCCGTTGTAGATTGCTGCGGTGCGCAGCTGTGTAAGATCAATACTTTGTTGTAGAGTGTACATGTAGATAAAAATGTAACATACAGGATACCCCTCAATTGGTGCGTCTGCTCTCTGTTGAAGTTATCGCCAAATGCTTCACGAAAGTCCTCGAAGCGCGTGCGAGACCGGACCCGGCGTGAGCGGGGGTGGGGCTTCGCGGAATTGCGGCAGCAACTTTTGGGTCCCGGCCTGACGTCAAGCATCCGGGCCGCGATCATGTAACCTTATTCAGCTCAGCTCATTCCCGGTGCCCAACAACCCTCGGTTCTCCTACCCGAAAACGACACCTCTTTCCTACCTAGAAAGGTTCCAATTCCAGTGGTGTGACACTCTCACAGACCATGACAGGCGCAAACACATTCTCCCTCGCGAGCAGGGTCAAGGTAAGCTCCTTGAAAATCCCTCTACGTGCGCACAGCAACCAGACCCCGGAAAGCTCACACGCGCGCCGCACACAGCTCTCCAACGGGCACACGATGCCCCAGATCCAGCTGGGCCTGTACATGATGTCGGGCCGCGAGGCCTCGCAGTCAGTCCGCCTCGCGCTGGCCGCGGGCTACCGCGGCTTCGACAGCGCGCAGATGTACGGCAACGAGCGCGAGGCCGGGCGCGCCATCCGCGACTTTGTGGCGTCGTCGGGCGGCGAGCTGTCGCGCGACGACGTCTTCTACACGAGCAAGCTGGCCAGCAACAGCGCCGACTACGACGCCGTGCGCCGCTCCATCCGCAAGTCGGTCGACGCGTGCGGGCTCGGCTACCTCGACCTGTTCCTGCTGCACAGCCCGTACGGCGGGCCGCAGGCGCGGGCGGAGAGCTGGCGCGCGGTGGAGGACGCGATCGAGGCGGGCGAGGTGCGGAGCGGAGGGGTGAGCAATTACGGTGTCAAGCATGTGAGTCGAGCGCTTCTGCCTCCCTCGTCCTGCCACGGGACTGACAGAGCTGCACGCCGCAACCCAGATCGAGGAGCTCATGGCTTCCAAGCCGCGCATCCCGCCCGTGGTCAACCAGATCGAGGTGCACCCGTTCAACACGCGCACCGACATCCGCGAGGCCTGCGCGCGGCACGGCATCGTGGTCGAGGCGTACGCGCCGCTCGCGCGCGCGATGCGCATGCGGCACCCCAAGATCGTCGAGCTGGCCAAGAAGTACTCGTGCTCGCCGGCGCAGCTGCTGGTGCGGTGGTCGCTGCAGCACGGCCTCGTGCCCCTGCCCAAGAGCGTGAGGCAGCAGCGCATCGCGGAGAACGCCGATGTCGGCGGGTTTGAGATCTCCGAGGAGGACATGGAGGCCATGGACGGGCTGGACGAGTATCTTGTGACTGACTGGTAAGTCTTGTACAATGCTCTGAGTTGTGCGATGTTGTAATGCTGATATGATGGATGTTATTAGGGATCCGACAGACTGTCCTTGAGCGCTGGAGAAATGTGGAAAACGAAGGCTAGGAAAGCTGCAAAGTTACCGGATGTGTGATATCGACATATCATGCTACGGCTTCTGAGGCTCTACGGAGGCGTAATTTAGATGCTAATCAAAGCCCAAAACAATGCTCGATTCAGCAGGAACTTCCCCTCGCCTTATTTATGGTCTTAGGTCTGATCTCGGGATGTGCACATACGCTTCTTCCTTTTTCGCCCCGGCTAAGTCACTCGTACCAATGAACACATCTTACTGGATGGACGTATTTTCTTCAAGAGAAATATCAGTTGATGAGTTTACTAGTAGAGAGTTGACTTTAAAGCACAGTACCATGATGATATTGCAACATAATAGACTGTATGCTTGGCCGAAGAAATGAATAGCGCTAAAGCCTCTGGCAACCAAGGCGCTTCGAGCAAGTCTTTGAACAAGTCTTTCTTCATTTCCTGTGGATTTTGTCTGGCTGGTTCTCTTACCTTCCTTTACCTAATGACCAACAGGTCTGCGAATCCGCTTTGAATTAGCGAAACTTGCCCAGAGAATCCTTCGAGAGCCTAATCAGTTCAGAGTTAGTTGTCAAGTCTCTGCCTGGTCCACAGATGCTCCGCCAAGCCGGAAAAAGGCACGATCCCTGTCATTATATCGAAGCGACCTCACATGACTTCTTACCAGCGACTTCGTCTCATTTCCAGGCTGCCCCTTATAATCATGCTGCGGCCCATCCGCCCCCAGTGCTCTCAAGATCGTGCTTGATCACATCTCGCTCTTTCCGCCTGCTGTCGTGTAAATCGTTCACGATGGCGTCCACTCGCTTCCTCGCGCCGCTGTTGCTATTGCTAGTGTCAGGAGCGGCGGCAGCACACGTCGAGACCAAGCTCTACGCCACCAGCCCACGCGCCATGACCATTTTGGGCCAAGACATGCAGGATTACACCGGAGATCACTTTGTCTTCAACGGCGCCATCCCCTGGTACCCCTACTCGGTGGACGTCGGCGTCGGCACGCCAGCGCAGACGCAGTCGATGGCGCTCACGGTCCAGCACGGCGAGTCGTGGGTCCTCTGGAGCGAGCACTGCCTGCCGCGCGACGACATCAACCCGAACCGCACGTCCTACTACCGCAACTGCAGCAGCGGCTCCTTTGACGACGTCAAGTCCTCGTCCTTTGCCTACAACGAGACCGGGAGGTACTACGGCTCCTTCGCCTCAGGCCGCGAGGCCGGCGTCGACGGCTTCGTGATGCAGGACACGGTGCACATCGGGGGCGCCGAGTGGAGCAACACCACCATGGGCCTCGGCACGTGGGCGGAGCTGGACACGGGCTTCTTCGGGCTCGGCCGGCCCTGGCTGTACCCCAACGGCCAGAACGCCACAGGCTCCGGCCAGGCGACGATGCTCGACCAGATGGTGGCGCACCGCGTCATCGACTCGCCGGCGTTCAGCATCTACGCCGACAACCGGCTGCTGCTCAACTCGACGACCGGCGGCGGCGGGGAGGCCACGCGCCGGGAGATCGGCAGCATCCTCTTCGGCGCCGTCGACAGGAGCAAGTACGACGGCCCGCTGAAGCGCATCCAGGCGTCGTACGGGCGCGACAAGGTCTCCGGCTCGAGCTGGGAGCGCGCGCCGGGCTATTTCGCCAACGTGACGGGCTTCTGGACCAGGGACGCCGCCGGCAAGGACAGGCCCGTCGGCACGCGCGGGTCCCAGATCTACGCCGCCGTCAACCCGACCTTCGCCATCAGCAACCTGCCCAGCGACGTCGCGGCCGAGCTCTACCGGGCCGTGGGCAGCGTCGCGTACCTGGCCTACGTCAACCTCAAGGCCGTGCTCTGCGACCGGATCCCCGACCTGCGGGGCAGCTTCGGCGTCGAGCTGGGCGGCGCGGGCGGGTACCGGCTCGAGGTGCCGCTGCGGGACCTCGTCGTGCCGCCCGAGGCCTTCCACATGGTGCTCAAGGGCAGGTGGGACGGGAGCGAGGGAGAGAAGTACTGCCTGCTCGCCGTGCAGGAGGAGGCGCGCAGGAACCAGTACTACCGGTACGACTACCAGAACTCGGGGCCCGAGTGGGTCATCGGCAGCATGATGCTGCGCGGCACGTACGCCGTGTTTGACAGCGAGAACATGGAGGTCAGCCTGGCGCCTCTCAAGGCTGGGGGCGGTGGGAGAGCCGCGGATATTGTGGCCTTTGGCAGCGCCGGCGCGCACGCGCCGGACTCGGAGTTTGTGGGCTATGAGGAGTGTTTTGTGAAGAGTTGTCAAAAGAAGGAGGACGAGGACGAGAAGAATGGCGGGTTGCGCGTTGATGTGCAGACGGGGCTCTTGGTTAGTTCGGCGTTGGCGGCGCTGGGCTTTATCCTGGTTGGCTGATGGAGCATCATACGCAGTTGAGTCTCAAGACTTGGTTGGTTGGTTGGTTGAGACGTGCTTAGCATATTTAATAGGTTGCGATGAGATACCCCCTTGCATGTACTACAGACTTGGTAAACATTCCCATTGGAGCAATGGATATATCCAAAACCGTCCTAGTATGAGGGTTGAGAAAGCACAACATCAAACAACACAGGCAAACCCAACAACCTCTCACAGCCTCGGCCCGGCCCTCCTCCGACTCCACTGGTGCGTCAGCTCCCCGCCCTCGACCCTCTGCCTCTCCTGGTACAGCCTCGCTGTCAGGTGCTTGTACAGGTACGCCGTGGCGCCGTGGTACGAGATGCCGTGGTCGCTGTCGGTGAAGGCCAGCCAGTTGAGCTTGGCCGGCGGCACGCCCGCGCCGACGAGCAGGTCCACGAGCGCCGCCGTGTTCTGGTAGTGCACGTTGTCGTCGCCGAGGCCGTGCATGATGCTGAACCCGCCGCGCGCGGCGCGGAAGCCGTCGGCGCGGCGCACCGCCGACGCCTCGTAGCCCCCGGCGTTGGCCGCGGGCGTCTTCATGTACCGCTCCGTGTACATGCTGTCATAGAAGCGCCAGTCGGACACGGGCGCCGTGATGAGCGCGTGCGACACGACGTCGCCCGCCGCGGCGTTGGCCTCGAGCACCTTGGCCGACAGGAACCCGCCGTACGACCAGCCCCAGATGCCGATCTTGGCCGCGTCGACAAAGGCGTGCCGCGACGCGAGCTCCCGGGCCGCCCACAGCTGGTCCTGCGCCTCGAGCACGCCGAGGCGCTTGGCCACGACGGAGCGGAATGCGCGGCCCTTGTTGCCAGTGCCGCGGTTGTCGACGGTCAAGGTGATGAACCGCAGCTCCGGGTCCGAGGCGATGTAGCCGTTCCAGTTGGGCCGCTGGAAGCGCTTGGTAACCTCCTGCGCGCCGGGCCCGCCGTAGGGCGTCAGCAGGACCGGGTACTTCTCGGCAGGGTCAAAGTTGACGGGAAGGCGCTGCATGACGTTGAGGCTGTAGCCCTCGGGGTGCTGGAGCTCAAAGTAGGTGATGTTGGGCAGGTTGTACTCCTGCAGGGCCGTGTAGAGGTCCTTATTATCCGTAACGGTACGAACGGGCGTGCTAGTCGAGTTGACCGAGTAGAGCTCTTGATAGGGGACGTCCGGGCCGTTATAGCTCAGGATGTAGTAGCTGCCGCCGGCGGAGAAGGAGGCGGACCACGACCCCGCGACAGTGTCGTCGACAAGGGCCTTCTTCTCGCCCGTGGCGTAGGAAACGGAGTAGAGATGGCTCTCGGTGCTGTGGTGCTCCGTCGACGTGAAGTAGACCAGCTTCCTCGCCGTGTCGACTTTGGTGATCCCAAGGACCTCCCACTCGCCGCTGGTGAGAGCCTTTGGCTCGCCACCATTGACGCTGTGGAGGTAGATGTGCTGCCACCCCGACTCGTCCGACAGGTCGATATAGTGACTGTCGTTGCCAGCTTCCTGCGCGGATCCAACGTATCGAATCGCCAGGCTGTTGTCAAGCCAACCGTCGGTGCCGTCGCGCTCACGGACGACGGTAGAAGCTCCGCTGGGCACATCGACGCGCACGTGCTTATCGTGGTCTTGCACGCGGTTGAACGCTCGGTAGATCAGGCTGTCGTGGCCTTTGGTCACCCAGGCGACCTCGCCTACGATCAGGTCGTTTGCGGTGAATGCATCGATGGCGACACTGCTCAGCTGCTCCGTCTCGACGTCGAGTATCGAGAGAGAGACTGTCGGATTGGTCGTGCCAACCTTGGGGTAGCGGAGATCTAGCTTGCGCGGGTACACGGGTGCGACCTCCTGCTTGTTCATGTAGTACTCCACCGTATAGGTCTCGACACCGGTCTCGTTGAAGCTCAGGAACGCAATGTACTTGCCGTCGGGCGAGAACCACAGCGTCTTGCGGTCGCCAAATATCTCTTCCTCGTAGACCCAGTCCGGCACAGCATGGAACAAGTCCGGGTTTCCGTCCGAGGTGATGCGCGAGACGGTGCCGTTTTTGTCGAGGAAGAGGTCGTTGCCACGCACGAAGGCCACGGCGTTGCCGGCCGGCGCCAACTCGGCGTATTGGATGTCGCCAGCCTGGTCGCCGACCAGAGGCGTCGACTCCCCCGAGGCCACATCGAGGATCACATAGTTGGAAAAGTACGAGTGTCGGTACTGCTTTGTGTAGTTTGTGGCGACGAGCACGCGCGAGAGATCCGGGCTGATCCAATACTCGTGCTGGTCGTCCGGCAGCTTGGCCAGGGTTTTGTTGGCAGAGGTGACGATGTCTTGGAGGACGAGGGAGCCGTTGGACTCGTATACGTACTGCCCGTCCTTTCCGCCGGCGAGCCATTGGACAGACTGGGACTTGGGCGTGAACTGGGGCTGTAGCACGGTGTTGTTGAAAGTCAGGAGCTTGTCACCGCCGTCCAGAGGCTGGTGAGGTTGTCGCTCCAGCGCGATCGCGGCCGCGAGGCACGCGAACAGTGCCGCAGCGAGTGCCTTTATTGCGAGCTTCATTGCCTGCAGATGCTTGCGGGCCCGGGAAGCTGGTGATGCCTGGGATTTCAATTGGCGACTGAAGCCGCCCTTGGGGTAGTCCAGAGTATGTCACCGCGGGGAAGGGGAATGAATGATCAACAGATGCAGTAATTATACCAGAGGAAAATAAAAGTAAGGTGATACCCCTCTTTTGTCACTTCTGTCACGAGGAGTGCAACCGGGCTGCATATCAAGACTCATGCGGTCATAATACGCAGATTGATTGCGGAAGGAGGATGCGTTTTGGTGCGCAGTCGGCTGGATTACGCAGTTGATCACGGCCCGAATAGGCAGCTGGTAAACAAGTGAGAATAACCGTTGAGGCTCGGCGTGCATAAGTTTTGCCCACCTGTACCAGCTTCCGAGAGCTACTTTAATGTAGGTAGCAGGGGTGTTTTGTTTTGACCCCGGTATCCAAGACTGCACGGCAGCACATCCACCCATATGCAGAGGTTATCTGTCGCACCGCAGTAGCCAAGCCAGTGTGCCGTGTCTCCGCAATGTTGCCATTCTCGTGGAGCTGCGGAGCAATATCACACTGCACAGCCTCACAGGCCCGGACTATTGAAATGGGCAGAATGCGTGTTCTCCGCTGTATGTTGTGAGGGAATGTTGCTTGTCAGGAATTCTTAGCCAAAGTCTATGTTTAATTATGTCTCTGCCTTGCTACAGAATCCAGGAAGGAAAGCAGTAAGCAAAGCAAAGTTAAGGAAGGACAGAAAGAAAGCAAGGAAAGACAGAAAGCAAGCAAGGAAAGAAAGAAAGCGAGCAAGGAAAAAAAAGTCAAATCGATGGAGAAATGCTGCCAGCAATCCAGACCTCTCCTCCTGTCTGCTCCAGGGGAGAAGCAGTCGACCCGGTCAGCGACAAGCCCCTCATGGATGCAACCGCGCCAGCAGAGCCTGGCAGCAATACCGGAACAAAAGAAATGAAAGAACAAGCTGGGTTGATGTTCCGACTGGTCCCTCACGAGATCAGCCATCCAAGGCCAAGCATAGAAGACAAATCTAGAAACGAGAGCGATCCAACTACGCGCGACATTATGCCAACACCCTCTCCACAAAGAACGAATGCTCCGACAAGGAGCCTACCGCTCTCTGCGCATAGAGGCACGGTGATGCCTTCTACAGCAGCCTCTGTGAGTCTCACTCTCCCTTGTGTTGCCGGTCTTCTGGGATGACCAAGCCGTCCATGGCAGCGCCTCGGGCGACGGTTGTCCAGCTGCGGTAAATCAGAAGCCTGCCCCCAAACATGAAAAGAGGCCACGAGAACTCACGATTTATCTGGATCACAGCAGATGATGGGGCCATCCGCGCCCAACCTCATCTTCACCAGGTCCTTGACACGCTCACAGATATCTATGTTGGCGGCCAAACCTCCAGTAAGGAACACGAACTGTCGTTGGCAAGCGGTTAGTCGTGTATTGTGCAAGCGGTCTGATGAAGGGAAATGGGACGGGATAACTTTTGGCGATGCGTACCTTGGGATGCTTGCTTCCAGGGTGGCGGTGGAGGTCGACGATGACCTCTGCCACAGCCTTAGCCGCGGCTGCAAAAATCGAGATGAATTCATCTCTATGGAAAGACGGTCAATTCCCGTGTCTGTGAGCAAACAAACCACAACAAAGCGGTAAGGGGGGTAGGAAATGAACGAGGCATGAAAGCACTACTAACCGATGAACCCCTATGCTTCTCTCCTCGAAGCTAGTGGGTCCCGCACCTGCCTGCGGGAGATCAGAAGGGTGGAAAACTCGAAAGCTGTGACTACCTCCCGAGAGCCGAGACGAGTCAAAGGAAAACTTGATCTCTTCCCATTCAGTCAAGATTGCCCTCTGGTACTTCCGAGCGACGGGATCATCGATAGCAAGAGGGAGGGTTGCGTAGACATCCCTCATTTTGCGGTCAGTGAGCCTGCGAAAGGCAAGATCCATGGCCATCGAGCCCGTCATGACACAGGTCTTGACAAGATACTGGCCTACCCAGTCGGAGGCTTTAAGCTCGTACACGGCAGCGTCCTGGACCAAGATACGAATTGTTATGGCACGGCCCTTATCAAAGTGGGGGATGAGAATTGGAACTCACGATTGTCAGGCCTCCACAATCAGCGACAATGACTGGCGTAGGAGTCTAGGATGAAGAATATGCGGTTAGCAAGGCCGCTTGCCTCGACAAGGAAAAGAGGGAGAGAGGGGTGAACCGAGCACTTGATGAATGTATGGCCTTTTGGGCAAAATGCTGGAAGGAGCACGTACCTGAAGCTGAGCCTGTAGTTCAGCACGATGGTCATGAAGAACAGCTTGCACCGCAGCTTCATGCTCCGTGCAGTAACGGACAGTATGTGCGAGTTTAGCTAGGCCAGAGATCTCGACGGCCTTTTCCAAACGCCGTCGAGGCTCGCCGGGGGGGCTGTCCCATCCGTGTGGATATGTGGCTATCACATGCACACGCAGAGTGTCGCCATACAAGTGGTGCAAGCGTGGATAGACCTCGTCCCACATACCCCTGAGGGCAACAGCAGTGATGTCAGAGGTTGACATGCGCGTCTGGAAGTTGTCAATGGTGGTTTCGATCAGGTCACGCACTGCCGCATCACCAAGGCCGCGTCTCCAATCCTCGGACTGCATAAGGGAGAACTTGAAATATCTCAGCTCATCCACCAAAGCGTTAGGGTCGCCGGTCTCTGGCTTCAGGTATTGGATGTCTCCGGTGGATGGGTTTCGGTAGAGAACAGAAGGGACCTTGAACCCGTCGTCCTGGGCCTTGATCTCGTGCTTGTTGTGTAGGTTGCAAATGCGCCGAGTCGTTGTAGCAAATGCCGTATACCTAGATTCCAGTGGAAGAGATGAGGATGGGGCGTGAAAACCAAGCTTTTCATAGTAGGGTGTGACTTACGTCGCTCCTCCGTCAATAGCGAGATACACATGGTTGAGGGAGCATCCACACTGAGCATCCATGGCAAAAGTCCAGGGTCGATTTCCCTGTGGGTAGGATCTTTGAGAAAGTTCAAGTGGCTGACGCAATGGCTACCAATTCACAAATGAGGAAGAGAAGAGTACGGAGATATGTTGTGTGTGGTTTGCAGTTCAAGCTGGAGGCCGGCAAAGCTGTGAGAAGGGCATTCCTCAACCTTTTTATCGTCCGATGGTCAGCAACAGACTTCCCAGAAGCCATGGTCATGGCAGACGGACGGAGAGACGGTGTGGCTTCGCGCTAGGGAGGGCTTGGAGGAGCAAATTCTCAAAGGCAGAGCTGATGGCCTAGGCAGAAGTGCCCAACAAGACGCGGGAAAGCCACTCGGCAGGCATTCACATCCCAATATTGCCTCAGGACTGGCAATAGAGGTTCATGCAGATCCCTGTTGGGCCAAAGATAGGCACGATCGTGAACATGATTGGACGGCATGGCCTTCGTTGTGATTTCTTGACGTCAATAAGATGTGTCCTGGGATTAAGGGGCAGGAGGAAAAAGCAAAAAAGCCATGGCAATGTCGTGTGAGCTTCATGGCGTTCTGATATCCACCAAGACTGCAGGCAAGCGACTGGCCGTCCTTTGCACCACAAGTTTGGAAGATGTAGCTTTCAGCTGCGAAAGTACTCGGGCTAGTACGAATGGAGGAATGTGCACCACGGAAAGTCGGTCTTTGAGAGAACGGCGAGCTGGACGCCTCCAAGGTTGGCATTTCTCCTCACCCATCATCTTGAGGCACAAGAGGCCTGCACCGGGATCCTGCGACGAAAACGGAGGCCCCTGGGCATCTGTCACACCGAAACAGGGATCAAGAAAACCGCGCATCTTATGCTGCATGCTGCTTGCCTGCAGGTTCCCAACAACCGGTGTCCAGCGTCTCTCTGTCTCTTGTCCCGGCAGCAAGGAGGCAAACTTCCGGATCCGGCCATGGCTCCTTTGAGGTCCTTTGGGTTCTGGCAGCACTGACCCGCTCTTCAACGAATGCAAGGACTCTGCTACTCACACTAGTGTTGTGGCACACGGCAAGCAAACTTCATCGTCTCGGATGGAGGCCAATCCGCTTGCTCGGTGTGGCTTTCTATTGATGCCGCCAGACGGATGCGGAAAGTGGAAGTGGACATGAAGATGACCTTCACAGGGTGCTGGCAATATGGCAACATGCAGCGAGATTAATATCAGCTGAAACGCTCGCTAGTCCTGGTTTCCACGCCCAGCCTCTGCACATTTCACTCCCAGCCTCTGGACGCCCATCTGCCTTGTCTATCCTCCTGCCTTGCTGAGCAGCCTTGACTCTGGAACACGGCTACTCTGGAAAGTTGGCCAGAGAATCTTGATTTAATCAAGACCAACGGTCTCGTTCTCCTGTGCCACCGGCCTTCTCCAATGACCCATACTTCTCAGGTTTTGCCTGCAGCGAAACAGTCAGCGGAAGCTGGCAGACAGCGCCCAAGCAAACGACTTCGCTCCCTCTCATCCGAGTCTTCTTTCACCGCTATGTCTGACCAGCCACAGACCAAGCGGGTGGCCCAGTCGTCTGCTGCCCAGGATCAAGAGTCCGGTGCTCGACAAGGTGATCCTAAAGACAGCACCGACAGCCAGGCTGTCCTGTCTGATGATATAGATGTCCCTTCTGTCAAAGACCCCATTTCTGACAGCAAGCCCAACCAAGGGAGCGCCGGTTCCAACGCCGCCCCTGACCTAGGTTCATCGGAGGAATCTGAGAAGATCATCTCAGAAATGCCTCTATTATCAGGGGAGGATACTACCACGCTCATGCTCTCCAACGATGACTGGAAATATATTCACGAGACCGACTACTTCAAGTTCTCATCGGATAGCTCCGCGAACGAGCGTCGGTTGGACTATGCCACCTCAGAAAGAAACATCGAAGGTGCGGAGTGGGACTCCTTGTGCAAGGCTGTGGGCTGGATTAGCTTCAACATGAATAGCGTCAAGTGGGAGGACCTCAGCCAGCGGTCGCAAGACTACATCTCGTCATGGGCGAACCAGCCGCAGAAGTACATCGGGCGCGAACACGGTCGTGAGCTCGAGAAGGCGTGGGTCTGGAATATCCTTTGGGATCACCTGTTCTCGCCGGACTGTGCTGAACGATGGCATGGGGAGCCTTGGGCTTCGTACGGCCGTGTCCTGAGAGACCTGGAGGGTGAGTTGCTCTGCTTCGATTGCTTCTATTCTTCTCTGCGCCTCCATATCTTTTTCTTCCATCTTCCTCTTTGTCATACTGATAACCCGTCCAAACAGGACACCTCGAGAGGGACGACAACTGCTTGGCGCGCACATTTCAGACGTGGCGTACGCTGTCGATGCGCATGCTCTACCCGCTCCACGGAGTCCACTCGGACGTGCAACGGCTCGTTGCGGTCCTGAAGCGCGAGCTGAGCGAGGTGCTGCCTGTGCCCCTACGCCCCACAGTCGCCGGAAAGCTCCAGGGAGTCGCCCATTTGGCGGTGAGAGTTGACCTGATCTTACAGGTGCAGAGGTACCGGTCGGTGATGCACATGGGACTCCCCACCACCGGCCAGCGGTTCGGGTTCGCCTACAGCAGCCACGGCTTGGAGATAGGGCTGAAGGATGTGGAGGAGGAAAGGCCTGTGCAGTTCCCGTCGGCTCCCCTCATGGTGGCGACCCCTTCCTTGCTGGAACCCCACGAGCTGCGCGGCCGGAATGTCGACTTTGTGTGCCAGCCGGGCGTCCGGTTTTATGGTCGCGTTCTCTCAAGATCGGCCGAGAACAGGTTCCTGCCGAATGAGGAATTGTGGCACTGCTTCGACAAGCTGCGCTGCAGGTACACCATGAAGGTCTGTGTGGACGATGGCAGTCCCGACAAGGGTGGCAAGGACGAGCAGCTTGACGAGGCTGACGGCGGCGATGGTGGCAAGGACGAACAGCTTGATGAAGCTGCCGGCGGCAGCGGCGGCGGTGACGACGACGACGGCAACGACGTCGGCGAAGGCACGAGCGCGAGCGCGAGCGCGAGCGAAGGTGGAACACCAGGCCGTGACGACATTGACAAGGGCGCGGAGATTGCGGCTGCAGAGTAACGAGACAAAGGGGGTCCCCGGAGAGTTTGGTCTGCTTTCGGAGGAACGTTGGTTTCTTTGTGCCCTCCAATGTGGCCATCCGCTCTTCTAACTTTATCTGTTGCTCTTCTTTCTCTCTTTGTTGTCCTTTCTTCAGCCCCTCCCTCACTCCCCTCACTCCCCTTGCCCCCTTTTCTCATTATTTGTTTCGTGTCCTGGTTTCCTTTCACTTTGCCGCTCCTTGTATTTTCCCCTCTTCCGTTCCTCTCTTTTCCTTTCTCTTTCCCTGTCCCTTTTCCTTTTCTCTTCCCCTGCCCTTTTTCCTTTTCTCTTCCCCTGACCCTTTTCCTTTTCTCTTCTTACTCTTCTTACTCCTCGTACCCTTCTTTCCGTTCATTGACCTCGTGTTCTCCTAGAACCAGGTAGCCATCTTTATGAGATCTCCGTAGCAATACGGTGTTTATTTTCCCCAGCTAGCAATGACACGCCCAAATACTTGCTTGCCTCCATCACCGTTGATGACCGTGTTGTTGTTGTTGGTGGTGTTGATGAGCCGGCACTCCCAGCCAAGACTATCCATCGTTTGATCTCTACCCGATACAGTGGGGCCGCCGTTCCGATCGGAAGCGTCAGAGTGCTTTTGCCGAGCTCGACAAGCGGTGTTCAATGTTGGGTGACTGGAAGTCGGCCGCAAACCCCGGTCGGCAGCGTTTTCTTCTCTTGCAAGCAAATGACTGGGAAACGGTAGTATTGCCATTGATCTTTCCGTGCATGTCCATCACCTAGTCACAAGCTAGGTAAGTAGGCTACGGACGACTGGACTGACCGCCCGTTTGCATTCCAGACCGCTACGGATGTGCATGCTGGCGTTTGTTCGTGCGCATTGGTCAGCAGACAAACAAACCACGAGACCATCCATTTTTTCCCCCCTGCTCGTCCTTCTTTGTTTCTCACGATGTTTCGCTGCTCTCTCCTCGCTCCCCGGGCCCGGGTGTGGGCCCCTCATGCCGCCCTACCGCGCCTGTGGATCAGTGAGTTCCCAGAGGGGCGCCCGCAGTGATTGGTGCGGTTAAATGCGCTGGGTAAATGGGCTGACAGTTGGGGGGGAGCTAACGAAACGCCCCAGTGGAGACGCACAGCACCTAATTCAACTCCCAGGTAGTGCTGGAGCGCCCTGTACGCGACCCAATTGGGGGTTGAATAGGGCTCGTTGTGCAGGGGCCAGAGGGGAATCTTGTGAGAGAGAGCTCCTCCCCCACCGCCCCGCCTGAAGCTCCCTCCCCTCCCACTCCCAGCGAAGAACGAAAAAACCCCCACTCGGTGTCATGATGATTCTCGGCCATGTTGACACGACCAAGACATCCGATCCATGAACGACGTGGTGGTTGCGGTGGGAGGATGTCGATGCACGCCAACATTGACGCTCCTCCTCCTAGCGACCTCCGAATCCCGGGCCCCCTCCAAGGCTTGCACCTGGTCTTAGGTTCTTCTAGTGCTTTTATCTAAGTAACATCAACTCCTCGACTTTGGTTCTCCCATGTCTTTTTTTGTATTCTTCTGGTGATTAATTCTATTGTAATTTTCCTCCCACTTTTACTCTTGCTCCCCTCCTCCCAAAATACCCTTCTGCTTGCTGGCTTGGACTCTACTTCCTGCATTGGTAGCCAGTCGTTGCATGTGGCAAGTGGCCTTCGAAACAACAGCACTCGTCCCGACCGCTCCCAACACCACCAAAACAGGCGGAACTCTGTGTGCAGCTTCTGCTCTCCGTCCCTTCTCGTCTCCTCATCCACATCTACTCAAGATGGCGTCTTCCTCCTCCTCCTCCGCCGCCGCCGCCGCCGCCGCCGCCCTCACCACCGAGGGCAAATCTGTACGTCCCACGCACCCCTTGCCACACCCTCTCCTCACCCCGCCCGCCGCCTGCGCGCACCCTGCCAACCTGCTGACTCAAACATCCCCTTTCCGGCGCGCAGAACCTCTCCTTCGTCCTCAACAAGCCCCACGACGTCGATTTCGCCGACCGGCCCCTCCCGACCCTGCGCTCGCCGAGGGACGTCCTCGTCGCCGTCAACTACACGGGCATCTGCGGCTCCGACGTGCACTACTGGGAGCACGGCGCCATCGGCCACTTTGTCGTCAAGGACCCCATGGTCCTCGGCCACGAGTCGGCCGGCACCGTCGTCGAGGTCGGCCCGGAGGTGTCGTCCCTCGCCGTCGGCGACCGCGTCGCCCTCGAGCCCGGCTACCCCTGCCGCCACTGCAAGCCCTGCCTCTCGGGCCACTACAACCTCTGCCCGGAGATGCGCTTCGCCGCCACCCCGCCCTACGACGGCACCCTGACCGGCTTCTGGTCCGCCCCGGCCGACTTCTGCTACCGGCTGCCCCCCTCCGTCTCCCTGCAGGAGGGCGCCCTGGTCGAGCCCCTCGCCGTCGCCGTCCACATCGTCCGCCAGGCCCGCGTCGCCCCGGGCCAGTCCGTCGTCGTCATGGGCGCCGGCCCCGTGGGCCTGCTGTGCGCCGCCGTCGCGCGCGCCTTCGGCGCCGCCAAGGTCGTCTCGGTCGACATCCTGCAGAGCAAGCTCGACTTTGCGCTGTCCTTCGCCAGCACCCACGCCTACCTCTCGAGGCGCGTCCCCGCCGAGGACAACGCCGAGGCCATCCGGCGCCTGTGCGGCCTGCCGCTCGGCGCCGACGCCGTCATCGACGCCTCGGGCGCCGAGCCCAGCATCCAGGCCAGCCAGCACGTCGTGCGCACGGGCGGCACCTACGTCCAGGGCGGCATGGGCAAGTCGGACATCACCTTCCCCATCATGGCCATGTGCATCAAGGAGGTCACCGTCCGCGGCTCCTTCCGCTACGGCTCCGGCGACTACGAGCTCGCCATCCAGCTCGTCGAGAGCGGCCAGGTCGACGTCAAGAGGCTCATCACCGGCACCGTCCCCTTCCGCCAGGCCGAGGAGGCCTTCAAGAAGGTCAAGGAGGGCGAGGTCATCAAGATCCTGATCGCGGGGCCCAACGAGAAGGTCGAGGGGGCGATGAGCACCGCCGTCGACGAGGCCAAGGTCAAGGAGGGCGGTGCGGCGTGCTGCTAGAATGTTTTGACTTGCCTACTTGGGAAGGGAAAGGCATTGCATCTTTTTTTTTTCCCCTTGAAGCGTCTCTTTCTTTTAGAGGTGTCTGGATGGGGATCCGGCGGATTGCTGTGTGCAATTTTGTCATCAATTCTGTGGGCGTATGGATCCGGTGTTGGGTGGGAAGTGTGTGTGGATGTGTGTCAACAGAGAGAATCTATTTCGCCAGAAGAGTCAGGGGTAGAAATGCACGCATAACAGCGATGATCTTCAGGATACGTTTCAATAATGGGGAAAAAGCAAAATTACAAGCAAACAAACAAACAAACAAAACAGACAATTGGTCTAATATCGCCCAC